CGCTCCGCGCCCGCGGCAGCGCCCCCCCGCCGCTCCCACCTAACGGTCCGGCCCCAACGGCCGCAACTAACGGCCCCGCCCCAACCGTCGCTCTCGGAAACCTCCGGGAAGCCTCGGGAAGGAGACGTTTCTCCCGTCCTTTACCTGGAAGAGAGGGATCTGGCGTAATCTGACGGCGTGAGAGAAGACGGTGGCACGGCGATTCCTGCGCCGCTTGGTAACTTCCTGACAAAGTCTCCGCTACAGGGGCTCTTCCCTGCGGGCAGGTGACAGGCATTGAAACCTGTGCAGCGCAAGCACTTAGGTAATTCCCAAGGTACACACATCCTCAGCGGTTAATGCGTTAGCATTAGCATAAAGCACTGCTCTGCAGTCACTGCGATCTGTTGGAGAACAAGGTAAATTGCACGAACCTGGCCTTGACTTGAAGGGAGCACAGAGCATTTGCACTGCAGCTTTACTGGCATAAAATAAATCGTGCAGGTAGTACCAATAGGGCAGCTTGTTTTATGGTTTGTTCTTATGCCTGATCATTCCAGGCCTTCCAGGAAGTTTTAAGAAACTCACTAGTCTCTAAGAAAACCATTCACATTTATTCTCTGGTTCAGACACAAGGCAGAATGTGTCACATCATTACCACACCATAGCAACAGGCTGCCACAAACCACTAGGGCTTGAGCAGCAGGATCACTTGAAAGGAAAATGCTCCTTAAGGCAATGTGCTTATTTAAATGCAGTCATCCTCAGTTCTACAGGCACTTTCTGCTCCACAACAATACCAAAATGTATACGTTGTTGGAGTTATCTTAGCCTTTCCATTAAGGAATATACTGTTAAACCAGCTGTAGCACTATTTTGAGTTCTTGCTGTATGTATACATATATATATATACCTATATATATATGTATTTCCAAGACATGATACATAAAAGGGCCAGTGTAGTTATACAAACTGAGCAGCTATTATGTGTTTGTAGCAAGATTTATGCAGCAATATAAAATGGTCTGTTAGAATAGATGATGAGTAAGAATGAGGCAAGCTATAGGGCACATGAGTCTTTATTGGGACCTTAAGATTTTTTATGGTTTTTTTTTCCAAATATATTCGCAGGTTTACTTAAAAGATTTGCTTGGCCCACACATACCATATACTGAGCAGGTGCTATTTTTTTTTTTTTTTTTTTTTTTTGTAAATTTATATGAAAGGCACTGGGCTAGGGGGGCCCTACAGCCTTTCGTGCTGCCTCCTGTGCTCTCCGTGCACGCTGGGCCAGGAGTGCCCTACAAGCTTTCGTGCAGCCCCCCGGGGCCTCCGTGTTCACTGGGCCGGGGAGGCCCTACGGACTTTCATGCGGCCTCCCAGGGCCTCTGTGCACACTGAGCCAGGGGGGTCCTACAGGCTTTTGTGTGGCCTCCAAGTGCCTCCATGTGCCCTGGACCAAGAGAGCCCTATGAGCTTTCATGCAGACTCCAATGGCCTCCGTGCACACTGGGCCAGGGGTCCCTACGGGCTTTCGTGTGGCATCCCAGGGCTTCCATGCGCACTGCTCTGGGACCTCCCTACAAGCTTTTGTGTGGCCTCCCGGTTCTTCTGTGCACGCTGGGCTGGGAGGGCCCTACAGGTTTTCATGCGGCCTCCTGGGACCTCTGAACATACTGAGCTGGTGGGGTCCTGCAGGCTTTCGTGCAGCCTCCAAAGGCCTCTGTGTGCACTGGGCCAGGGGGCCCTACAGGCTTTCGTGTGGCCTTCCGGGACCTCTGTGTGCACTGGACACGGGGGGATCTACCGGAATTCTTGCAGACTCCAAAGGCCTCCATGTTCACAGGGTCGAAGGGACTCTACGGGCTTTATTGCAGCCTCCCGGAGCCTCCTTGCACATTGAGCCGGGGAGACCCTACGACCTTTCATGCGAATTCCAAGGGCCTCCATGCGCACTGGGCTGGGGGGTCCCTATGGGCATTCATTGAGGGCTCCCGGGGCCTCCCTGTGCACTATGCCGGGAGGTCCTACAGGCTTTAGGGCGGCCTCCCTAGGCCTCCATGCTCACTGGGCCAGGGGCGTCCTACGGGCTTTCGTGTGGCCTCCCGGGGACTTGGTGTTTCCCCACAAGATCTTTACCCTGTACTTTACAGCCATACTCCACATGGGGCTCTGCACTTCATTCCTGC